CAGGGTGACCCCAAGCAAAGCTCTGGTGGGATGGATTCCTCTGCCCCAGTGCCAGAGCTGCCCTGCTTGCCCTGCATTAATTTAATTAAAGGCAGGAGAGATCTCATCTAGCACAGAACAAGAAGAATCCCAGTCTAGAAGATAGCTATTATTTTAGCAACTGAGAAATGTGATGCAAACCACTTTGACAGTGACTAAGCAGTGAGCAGCATTAGGGTGAATAATTATATACATTGACAGTTCCTCTGGATGCCTCCCACAGTCTGTTGTCACCATCTTCCCATTATAAGGACTGAATTAACGCCAAAAAGCCAACATTCATCCATCTGGATCTGCCAAACTTTGGGAGTGCTGCGTCAGGTGAAAAAGTAATGCACAGTTTTACCACCCAGATTTGAATAACACTGTGGCCTGTGTTTCCTCACAGCTGTAATGGTGATTGACGGAAGGGAGAAAAAAACAGCAGCTCAGATTTGTAATTCAGCGGCTATAATGAGAATAAGTAATGTTGCTCTAAAAGGTTATTTCAGCCTTTCATGTGTTGCAGACACCAACCTAACCCCCAGCTGACTGTAAGGAAGGTTATGTTTTCCTTTATCTTTCGCATTATTCACTTAAGTAAGTCTTAACTTACTTAAGTTATCTCTGCAAGAATTAATACTCACAGCATATTAATCCATAATAATCGATAAACATAGAGCTGAGTGAAACACAACATGTAATGGAGTTGAGGAGTAAAGTTTTTTATTCTCTCATGATGAAGGTCTTGATACTACTGTAACATCTTTGTGGTGTTTTTGTTTGATTGAGCTGTATGGGACTGATAAGAAATGACGAAAAGACTCTGAGAGCAAAAAAATCCCATAAAACTTGCTGAAGCAATCTAGGTTAACAGGATGGGCTGACCTCTGGGTAGAAACTTGTAGATGCTGTGTTGCAAAACACTGTAGTTTTTACTGCACCAGAACATTGGGAAAGAGAAACAAATTTAGGACACTTGGATTACCTCAGGATCACCATTACCAGAGCACCACTTTGTTCTCTGAGCACAGCTCAGCCTTCCTCCTGCCCAGTGAGGGCAGTGCATCTGCGCTGCCTATCAGCTGCCTGTGGAGCCGCACAGGCATGAAGTGTATCGTGCTCAGGATCAAGGGATGATACTTGAAAACATCAGTATTTAGAAGGATTTGGATAACATTCTGTAAAAAAAGTTGCTACTTCTAGCACTAGCTGTAAGTACGCTGTCCTTTAATGTGCTACAGAATTATCATTCTCATACCAGATTAAACATCCTTACACACTTGTAATTTTGGGAAGTAAGAATTTTAGAGGGGCTAGGACTTGGAGATTTGCCATCCTGGGCTAAATTTGAACATACTGAGAAGCTGAGGCCACATACATGAAGAATATTAGGCTGCTGAAGCAGAATGAAAAATGGCATGCAAACTTGGTAATGTAGGAGAACCAAGCATGAATAAAACACTGATACAGACAGAAGTAAAACAGTCAGTTGTTGAGGATTTTCAATTTATTCTAACATTTTTTTCTTCCTCAATCTTTTTTGAGAATGGAGAACTATTGTCCCCATAATCCTTTTTATCAAAGCTGGTGTAAAGGAATGAAGCAGATTGGCTTTAGGCTATCTCTTCAGTTTTACTGACAGTTTTGTTTTTTTGCTTCCCACTTTTATGGCATCAGACTTTGTCCATTTACAATCCAGTAATTACTGGCTATTGAAATACATCAACAAGCTAACATACCCATTGAGCTGAGAAGATTCTGAAATGCTGAGGCAGAAGAATATGAAAATGTCTACACGCTACAATTGCAAGCACTGTGCTAAGAATCAGATATGACTTCTGTTCACCTTAGAGGATAAAATTGGCAGGTATATCATTTTGTCTTTAACTCTGGCAAAAGGTGCTTATGGAACACTTATTTGGCAGTCTATTCTTTCTAATAAAGTGTCAGATAGTAAGTGTGCATATAAAATTGCTCTTGTTTATTCATGTGGAGAAAGCTAGTATTCATGCTGTCCTGAATTAGCAGGGATGTCCTATGTAAGACACACATAACATTCAGAAGACCTCTAGGGCTGTAATTTGTACTTCAGATAATAGCAGGAGTTCCAGGGACAGCAATAGGGATGATCAGAGTCTACAGTTTTACGTAGAAAGACATAAAGGCTTTGGTTAGCCCGGCAAAGGAAAAGGGTAACATTTTGACAGCTCACATTCCTTGTTAGGAATAAGCTTTCAACTCTATAAAGAGCTGTGATCAATGGAGAGGATTGCTTGAGGAGCCACTGTCTTCAGAAGAGGTTAGAATATGTACAGCAACTTTCAAAAATGGTTAAGTACAGCTGCACTTGTCTTGGGTCTAGGGGACAGCCTGTATGCACCCCAGTGCGCCTTCAGACCCTGCTATCAGTTGTTACGGTGCAGTTGTTCCATCCTGAATCACCCTGCTGTAACTGCGGGCATAGTTTTGTAGATTTTCTTGACTGACACAACAAGACAGTAGCTACTCTCAGCTATTTTTCTACTGAAGATAGTCACTTACAGAGCTGCTGTGTTTGTGCATCCACATCAGCATGTCAGGTTGGACCAGGACTGTACTTCTAACAATCTCCTGATCATCCCCACTCTGCTGCTGTTGTCCACACTGCGGACCAGTGTCAGAGTACATGAACTGAATTCCTTCTAGATGAAGCTAAACTGGCTTTGTGCTCCAGCCATGCATCTATTACGTTTGAATGGCAAGTAAATGTTTTGTTGATGGCACCTGAGAAGAGTTAGTCTACAGTAAAGAAACAACTCCCAAAAATTCCAAACCTGAACTTTTGGGTAGACCTGTGCAGTGCCAGGAGTTGTACTTGATGATCCTTATGGGTCCCTTCCAACTTGAGCTATTCTATGACTCTATGAAATTTCTATATATGGCTGTAAGTACCAATCATGTTGCTCTATAGGCTCATTTCAGCTGTTTCACACTGCTTGCTACTGTCAGGTGTAGCCACAGCACCTAATTTTTTGTTCTAGCTTCTTGTATATTCCTTCATACATTTTAATGAGCTAGTTTCATGTTTAAATACATTAGCTTATCTGAGACTGATTCTCATTTTGTGTCTCGTCAGAACTATTAAGATCTGCTGGCAGACTTACTGCAGGTTTCTGAATTTCAAAGCTCCAGGATTAGTGTTGGTGTTTTAGCCTTGGAATTTTCTGTCTTCAGAATTCTGTTAGGGCGATGAGAATACGAAGCTTCAAAGCACAATGTGATTCCCTTCTTCTGTAAGGTCTCATCTGTTTTTGTCTCCTTCTCAGGGAGAGGGTTGCTTTTTTTTTTTCTCCCCTTTTTTTTTTAAAAAAAAAAAAACTTGTCTTACCTTTTTCAGTTCAGAAAAATTGCTGTTGTATTAGTAGCAATATGTACTTTTAAAGTCAATGCAAATACATAAATATAACAACATCTAATGTCCCTGCAGTACACTACCTATTTACCAAATAATTGTCTTGGGTAAGTATCAGAAAGGCCTAAATTACAGTATGAACATATCCCGCACTTCAGCTGCAGACATGAACGCTTCTATGAAAGCTCTACAAAATTCTGCCCAGAGGAAGGTTTTTTTTGCATAATTGATGGACGAATGAAAGAGTGGAAAAGAATAATCTCTCTTTGAGGATCTTTCTTTGGGGTAAAAAGAGAGGCAGTTTGTGCTGCAATGTTAACATAAAAGGACAGAAGCCTAGACATCTACTTTTCTCTCAGTGCACCAGTGCAGATTTTCCTTACTCTATAACATAACTTGAGCCTTCGTCATTGTGTTTATAATACACAGACTAAAAGAGATGGTTTTCAGGCTTTTAGGTAGCAACATCAACCTAAAGTAAACTTGCCATTTTATCCCCTACTCCTAACCCCATTCCACACATGCTCCCAAGTTAAAGTTCAAGGTTGAGCTGTTTTGCATGGTGGATATAGGTTATTCGACACTAAAGCTACAAACACTGTAGAGATGAGTTATCTACCAATTATAGCATCTTATCAGCTACTAATCCCATTAGTCTGCCTGGCTTCACTGTTGCGTGGCTTTCTTGGTCCTCTCAGGCTCAAGGCAGGCAGTAATTCACACGTACTGATTCAGCTAGCACTTACAGGAAAGACAAGCTCTAAAAAATTCTCCTAGAGGAGGATGAGTAAATCACTAAATATTCCCAAGAGTAATTTAGATGTTATGATCACTGGTGCAGGCAGTATGTAATCACATTTTATTGACAACTTCTAAAGATCAATCTTCCTTTGAATCTGCATAGAGTGAGGCTGAATAGAATACAGCTATAGGGACTAATGCAACATACACTGATGGGACCTGATCTAGCACCAAGTAAGCTGGTTTGGGTAAGGTACTATATGTCTTTTAGCATTGAGGTATGCGTTGGTGTGGAGTCACTGCTATGAATTTATACCATATCCTTAGAGACAATAGTTTGCAGAGAGTCTGTCAGTTTGCTTACACGACTCTTAGCACATCTAAGTGTCAGGTAGTATGTTTTTGAAGGAGAAATTAAAAGGCTGTGTAAGAAATTTTGCAGTAGAAAACTTGCAAGTGCAGTTTCTGCATAAACATTAGACCTTAAACTTTTTTTAAAATAATCATGTTTGATCACTCCAATAATCTCATCAATTCATTTTTGTAAATGCTTCCTTGGACACAGATTTGGGAATTCATCTTTCATCTCAGAGTATGTTATCACAACTTTGTAAATACATGAGTACAATACTGGGAAAACACTGATGATCATCTTAAAGGCAGGCTGCTACTAGCTACTATCCAACAACCCACAAAGTGATTCTACTTACTACAATAAATGGAATTTAAAGAGTACTTGGCTAAAATGGGTTTCAACTCTTTAAACATACATTAAAACAAAGTGAATTATTAGGTGCATGTTTTGTGTATTGGTATCAATAATCATTTTGTATTCTCTTTCTTACAGGAGGTGAAGTCACCAAGCCCAGGTTTGCTCAGTATTTCCACGGCAGCCTAGCCAGTCTAACTATCCGCCCAGGCAAAATTGAGAGCCAGAAAGTGATTTCCTGTTTGCAGGCCTGCAAGGAAGGTCTGGATATTAATTCACTTGAGAGTCTTGGCCAAGGAATAAAGGTAAGGGATGAACTGACATCATCTTTGATAAAAATGTAGAGCTGATTTATGAAGTGGAGAGCCCAAGGTAGAGTACACACAGTACAAATGTGCTCCCAAAAGCAATGTAATTTCCCATAAAGTCATGCAAAGAAAAAGGGGAATGGTAGAAGAGCTGTGACATTGCAAAGAAAAATGTTTCTGATATTGCAAAGGTAGACGCTCAGAACGTAGGCTGCTGCTGATATTTCACAGTCTGTAAGAATTGCCAGATCGTGTTCTCATGCTCATTTTGGTAGTTTTACAGAAACAGACATTGTTTCAAAGAATTACTGAATTTTGAATTGCTTTAAAGCAATGGAAAATATAAGTAGAGTATCTTTCATCTAGAGGCAGCTCAGAAAGAACTCCCAATGCAGAAGGACTAAAAAATTCTGAGTGTATTCCAAGAGGAAAACAATGTTATGAGACATGAAAACTGGACAACAAAAAGTCAAGAACTTCAAATTTTACATTTGCTTACAAATATTATCCATCCACGTTATGTATGTGACTATCTTTATTGTAACACTTTTTCTAAGACTGGAGAACAACATGTAGAGGGAAATGCCGTTTCAATAGACACAGTGAGTGACCAGATTGCTTTGCATTCATAAAGACAACTTCTGTTCTTTTGGATACACTTGTAGAATCTTCAATATAACTTCTAGAATGCTTACATGAAGTGCATTTTAATTTGTTCTGTACTGATACTTCTATTAGATGACAGGTATTCTTCTGCCCTAAGTGTAAACACACAGTTAAGCTATTTCCTAGTACACAAATGACAATACCATCTTCCAAATGAGTTGATCTTCAGATTCAAATAAGTGGGAAGATACTTTGTATGCAGACTATGTAGTCTGCGAAACAACACAGGATATTTGGTGTTACGTTTTTCAGGGGAGAGAAGGTTGGTGCTATAGCACTTGAGCTAGATTATGCAGTGGAAGGGCCACGTACTACATTTTATTAGCTGAACCTTTTCATTGTACCATTTAGGAGACTGACCTAACACACTCGATACCTGTCTAGGTGATAAATTACTGTGGTATTGTATAACTGGTGTTTCTGAAAACAAGGGTAAAAATGTAAACTGAAAGTGAAAAGTTATGGAGCTTTATTAGCTCCAGCCTTTACATATACCCCCCGAATTATTTCTTTATCTTTATCGTACCTAGGACATTATTATGAACTTCACATGGTTGCCACTCCTAGAAAAATTACACACTTATGAGTAAAAGCTGTTTTAAAAGGATGATGCATACAATGAGTGGCTAGGGTTTTTAGGAATTTGTATATTAATACCATTAAGTTCTTTGCTGGGTCTTACTTGAATTAAAGAAGTGCATAATTGGTGCTTGGTATTTAAAAACATCATAATACCTCTCCTATTGTCACATTATGAAATTTGACAGTATTTGAGTAATCTGTTTTTTTCATGGGCTTGGAAAAACCTTTTATACCTCCCCCACTGCTGCTCTAGCACAGGTGATCAGTTTTCTTACTGTACTAGCAATGGGGTGGCAAAAACTAAGATGAGGGATTGTCCCCCCCCCCCTTTTCTGTTTTCCACCAAACTTCAAAACATTTTAATTTTCTTAATATTTCTTTAAAGTTACATCATTCTTTAAAGCTGCTTTCATTTCTACCTTCTCAGACAGATGAACAGTCTGTGTAACAGCAGGAGGCAAAAACAAAAGGAGCAGTCAGAGATGGATAATGGTAGGGTTTCTTATTAGGGCTTACAAAAAGAAGCTCAGATGAAAGTGGAACAGTTAGCACCTGACCTTCAACTGAAAATTAATAAAGAGTTTCTCATGACAAAAATAAAATAACTGATCTCACACAGACATGTGTCACAGTTGCACAGCTGATAGTTTCTGTGTGACCATTTACATGGCACTTACCTGATTAAATGTTGGCAAACTGATGCTGGGAGACATTTCTGCTGGGCACTTTGGACACATGAAGCTTCACCTTTCAGCCACCTAGGAAAGAGCAATGTAGCTGTAATACAGTTCCTGACACAGCAGTGTTGGGCTTTTTCTGTCTGCAGGCTAACTTTTAGAGATCTGTAACAGCTCTCAGAGACACTGTCTAAACTGTCACTATTTTTAGCCTTTTTTAATGAGAAAGACAAAAATGGCTCAGACTAGGGTTTTCTCCAGTCCCTTTGGCAGCATTCCAGCTGTTCTAGCAGCTGAGCTATTAAGTTAACTAGCTAGCTAGAGTCTCCTTCTGCTAATTTTATTTTGTACTATTGCTAGCTTACAGATGGAAAAGAGAAGTGTATGCAGGCTGTGACTCATGTTAGTCCTCTTTGTTAAAAAATACCCTTCAGTACATCAGACCTTTCTGCACAAGCTTTGAACCCAGTCCCCTGTGTTCTCAGCAGAGAACCCCATGTTTCATTTTGTTCTTCACAGTTTATTTATTTGCTCTTTTGCTTTTTAACCTCTCATTTTAAGAAAACGTAGACAGACATTGTCTGTATATTAGAGAATATGCTCATATAATCAATATCCAGCTTTTCAGTGTGAGAGAAGGGTGGATTTATTTGTGTTCTGTGCATTTCTTTATGTTCTGTGCTATCAGTAGTATGGTACAAAATCAAGGGGGGTAATCTGCTTTTCTCTGCAATGCAGATGCTTTGCTGAACCAATTAAAAGACAAAAAAAAAAAAGAAATGAAGATGAATTATGGTGAAGATAAAATCAAACATTTGCTATGCAGATACAGTAGCAAACTTTCTTCATCAGCAAGACTGTTTTATGTTCAATGCAATGGACAGGGGACAGTCAGGGCTACAAGAAGAGCCACCGTCTTTGCAAGGGTTGTTGGCTCAGAGGAGCAGCTGGCTTTGTGCAAGCAGCAGTTACATGTTATATCATAACACTCTTATTGATCATGAGAAAAAGACAGGAGAATCCCCTTTATTCTGTCTGACGTTAATGAAGACCAAAGAGGATAATGTCGTAATTGTTTTGTTCATTTGCGTGGAAGTATATCTCAGAAAGATAGTCCAGAGTAAAAACAAACAGAAAGCAGGAAAAATATGTTTCTGCATACTACTCTTGTTGAAGTGAATATTTTTATATGAGGAATGTGAACAAAAAATAACCAGTAATAATAATGATGACAGTAAAAGTTTTGAACTTTACATTTGCAGAAATAGTATCACCAAAGTTGATAAGACTGGGAAAAATTACAATATCTGGATTAATTTACTATAAAAGTAATTATAACTGTAATTATTAAGATATGAAATAGATGACTGACATGAGACATTTTGGAAGGAACAACATATGGATTCAGCCAACAATAGCCACTAAGATTTTTTTTCTTAAATCATTAGATTTTAAACTTATGTCTGTGCAACATTACTTTAAAATGTCTTTTTTTGTACTCTGTACCTGGTACCTTAAATACTAATTGTATGCATTTCCCCCAGTATCACTTCAACCCTTCCCAGTCAGTCCTTGTCATGGAAGGAGATGACATTGAGAATATAAATCAAGCTCTCCGAAAGGTCTCATACATCAACTCTAGACAGTTTCCTACTGCAGGCGTACGACGTCTCAAAGTCTCATCTACAGTCCAGTAAGTTGTACTTCAGCTAAACTGATTAGATTAGGAATATGTTTAATTATTTTTTTTCTTTGGGGAAGTAAAAAGAATAATTTTGATTAAATTATACTGCCAAATCATTCTTTTATGTTATTGAACAAAAAGTATGAATTTCATTATTTTTAGGTTTTGCATTGCTATTCTCCTTTTAAGAAACTTCTCTTGTGACTGCAATTTGCTTGCATTCTGTTTATAGTTTGGAACACACAGTCTGGACTTGACTGGACAGCATATGCATTTATTGCATTCTTATTTTAATGTTCATTTAAAAACTTATAGTTTCTTCTGATACACTTACAGCCATGACTTTTTAAATGAGGCTTATTACTTCTAACAGACTATATGGCTGCAAGAACAGTTACATTCTGAAGTATGCTTGAAATCGTCTGTTTATATTCTTATATGGCTGTCATTACCAAAGTACTGGCGTTAAATAGAAATCTGTTTCCTTCCATTGTCATGCAATAATATTGAAAGAATCTACACTATAACGTTTACAGTTCTGTATAAAGAAAGAACCATCTGCCACTCCTGAGCATCCTAAGGGGTACCTCTCTGTTACAGCAAGTTGTACAGAGCAGTGAGAGCAGATTTTGAGAGTAAAACGGTTCGTGATAGGATCCCTCATCCACCCTGTGTACAGTACTAGGTTTAGTTTAGTGCTGTGGGTTGACCACACTTGGAGAGCATCTTCCAATTTAGTCTCAATGGAAGGAGATCAGTTTGCACACTCCAAGGCTGTTCTATGGTATGTGCCAAGATGCTTGCTGTAAGGTAGAGTGTCAGGAGGTCGACTTCAAAAGCACAGTGCTGATTCAAATAGAAATGTTAATGTAGGCCCTGCTAAATACTAGGGAATGCCAGAAATAATTCATGATGGGTCTGATTTAAATGGATAGTTAGGCCCTTTTACTCACTTGTGAAAAGATAACCCCATTACGTTCATTAGATATGACTGTAAGAATTGAATATTAGGTTTACTACACTTAGTTGTCATCCTCTAACTATTATTATTTTATCCATGCACTACTTTGTAAAATGTCAGTTAAACATCAAAATACTATTCTCATAGTGACCTTACTAAAGATCAAGTTTGTCATGGTGCTAATTGTTATGCCATCCCTACATAAATTCAGTAGTTGTGAATGTAGGAGGGGATGAGAGGAATAGAGCTGTTACTGTCACTGCTAGCCTTTGTGTGTGGTCATACAGATGCATGACCTTATGTGTGGCATTGTCAAACTATGGAACAAACTGAAGTGAGAAAATAAAAAAGAATCAGATGCATCAAGTGGGCTTTGGACAGTGGAAGTGTCACACACCTTTGATATGTAATGTGTTACATGCAGTTAATGAATAATGTATTTTTCAGATGTTTTGGTGAAGATATCTGCATTAGTATCCCAGATATCGATGCGTATGTAATGGTGTTTCAGGCCAATGAGCCCAAGATTACAATAAGTGGGATGGACCACTTTGCTAGACCAGCTGCACAATTTGAAAGTGAAAGAGGTGTTACTCTGTTACCTGACATAAGGATTGTCAGCACAGTCACTAAAATGGAGCATCCAGTGGACTTAAAAGAAAATGATGGAGGTTTGTGGATTCATTTTAAATATTATTATTTACTGTGTAACATAACCCCTCCTTTTTTTTGAAAAAGTAGTGCAAAAAAGTACCACAAAGTCTTTTCAGACAAATTAAGTTATTCCATGTTAGGCAACATTAACACTGTACTGAAGACATTCACTTAGATTTAAAAGTGAATAAATCCCTATTTGCTTGATAGATCAAGGTGTGCTTCAAAAAGGTCAGCTTTCCCATTTAGTGTCACGTACTTTGGACTACTTTGTTTCCGCTCTTCTGTACATACTCTGTTTAATAATGTGTTTTTATTAGATTTTGTAATAGAATTTTATTAATTGTACTAATACAGAGCAAAGCAGCAATTGACTATGGTTGTTGTTTTAGTCTGTTCTTACATTTCCAGATCTTCTGCAGACTTTTGGGTGATACTTAAGTAATGTAGTCATCTTGTGCCTCAGATTCCCACCTATATAATGGAAATATAATTACTTGCAAAGATGTTGTGATGACAATTTATTGTGATAGTTGAAGAATGTGTGTAGTATTATTTGACACTAGGTGAATACTCAAATATATAAATAAGGTTTAACTGTCTAAAGGAATTGTTCTTTTGGATGTTTCTGTGCAAAGTAAGTGAAAAGCTTAGTAATCTGAGGCATCATTCTAAACAGTATTTCTTGGACTAGTATAAGGAGCTACTAGATGTACATCTCTTGAAAAGATAAAATCATTAATGATGTGCAAGTGAAGGGGCATAGATTCCCTGAAGGTATTCCCTGTAATAATGCTGCTTATCGCTTGCCTTAAAATACATCTGTCCTCTGAAGGCTGGAAAGTGCATTATATCACAATATCAACTGCATACAATTAAGGTATGTAAAATTAGTTCTTTTGTAGAAAAGAGTGATCATTGTCCTTCACTTTAGAGGCACTGTATTTATGATGCTCTATGTCCTTAAATATTATGACAACTCCAAAACTGCTCAGTGAATTAGGAGCTACTGCCCTTCAGTATAGTTTTTAAATCTTGTGTATCACAATTTTTCCTAATTTTTTTTTCTATAATTACTGTTGCAATTACCTTGCAATCTAAAAAGCCCGAGTCTCACATTCAGATGGAACATAGCAGCATTTCTTAAACTACTGTTTAATTGCCTAGAAGTCAGGTACCTCCTAATGTGCCACCTCTTGTTTATATCCACTAAGAGTAGTTAAAATGGACAGATAATAATTGGTTAGGGGAGTAATTGTGTTTTGCAAAAGATTATTGAATTCTGCTTCTCCATTCCTGCATTATACAGCTTGAACTATTTTTCTCAGCCCCGATATTATCTGACAGACCAAAGTACAAAACAAAGACAGCCATAAATCTTCACCTGTATCTAGCTGTGCCTATTTTTCCACTTACTGGGAAGTTACATAACTTGATCATTATAACTGTAGGAGAGATGCACATGACATGGCAAGGCTGAGGAGGCTGATTTAGTCACCATGTATTCCCCAGTCACAGGACAAGTTAGGTTTGTTGCTCATCAAAAGTAGAGCAGGCAGTTGCCACAGGCAGCAGCATGACTATGGCTCTGAGGCCTTCTTTACCTGCAGGGGACCCCTGCAATGCCAAAGTGCTGCTTGTCCTGCCTCAGCAGAGAAATCAGTGTGACCTGCCAGCAGCCAGAAGTGCCATCCCTCCCTTTCCTGTTTGCCCAGTGGTAGAAGGAACCGCAAAGCTGCTCTGCGACCCAGCTCTTGCCTGTCATAACTTCTCAAGAAATAGTCCGACTCATCAGGCTTAGCGATATTCAGATTTGCCTATCCTGCAAATTTGAGATGACTCTACATTTTTGGCATAAGTTAAAGCTGTTTCCAGCTGTACCTTGAGTTCAGATACTCAAATTCATTGTACCAGGAGTTGGTAATCCAGGGCCTAAGACTTCTCTGGCTATGCGTTGCTTCCCCATACCCTCCCCCAAAATGAAAGTCACAAAATGGGTGTTAATTTCCAAGACTGCAGTCTCTGTGCCTATGGTATCCTCAGAGAGCTTGGTTAAACAGTCTTGTCAGACCCTTTGGGCTACATTTACCAGAGAATCACAGAATCACAGAATTTCTAGGTTGGAAGAGACCTCAAGATCATCGAGTCCAACCTCTGACCTAATGCTAACAGTCCCCACTAAACCATATCCCTAAGCTCTACATCTAAACGTCTTTTAAAGACTTCCAGGAATGGTGACTCCACCACTTAAAAATAATAAATTGATATTGTACTTTTCTTCTGGGGCAAACTTTTATTTTTTTTTTTTAAAAAGTCATACTTACTGAAGTAGTCAGTGCAGAACTCATGTTCACCAAGTCACACCACACAGGCTCTTCCAATTTATGGTGATACCATGTTCTTGGATTGATGGCATAGCGTTCTTGCTATAGTGTTGCTATGTATGGCATAGTGTTCTTGCTATAGTGCAAATTCTTTATGGGTCATAGAATAACTGAGCGAGTCGTCAAAACATTGATGTATTTGTGACATGTTTTTCCAGTCCAACTTTCCTTGAAAAAAAAAAAAAAAAGAACGAACTTACGGTACCAATCTGGGATCAATACTGTACCGAAAAATCAGAATTGTTAACCTGAATTTATTTCCAGGGTCAAATACCAGTTTTCTGCTTACAGTATGGTTCTTGAATGTGTTTTATTATAAGAGCAATTTATCTTTTATCTCAGTATTTATTTGTAGGCCTTCATCATGACAGCATTTGAACAGTCACAACACTTCTCTTTTGATTTGCTTCAAGTGCACTGTTTTTAATTTGAGTAAAGAAAATTCAGCCATCTTTGCAAAAACTGAAAGCCCCAATGCAAAGCACATAAAATGAATGAGCTGATGAGCTGTTCTGGGATTCTGTGAGCATTTCTCTTAGTTTCTTCATTTCCTTTTTTTTTTTTTTTTCTTTTCTTGGTATATGCTATGTGTTCACAGTCAAGAAGCCAGTGGAATTAGAGGAAGTGCTCCACAACTTGGATTTCTGTGATATTTTGGTCAGTGGTGCAGAACTAGATCCTGAACAAGAGTGTTTAGAACTAGATCATGCGGTGCTTCAAGGAAAACATCTAGATGCTACAAATTCCACAGCAGGATATTCGATCTATGGTATGTTTGTGGACTTTGCCTTCCCTTATTTCTTCCCACCAACAGGTAAATCTTTGGAATGAAAGGACTAATCTGAAAGAAAGCTGAGGTGTGCTACCTTTAAAATATTCCAGGAAAGATTCTGTCTCAAAAAGCACAGTTACTTCTTGCTCTCTGGGTGTGGTGTGTTTATCCATTGTCCTCCATGAATACAGCACAGCTTTGTCTCATCTCTTCACTCCTCCTGCTACTCCCCTAAAAAGAAAAATAGCAAAAAATAAAAAATAAAATAGTGTGAGGGTTCTGGCATACCATAACAGTGTAATGTATGGATAAGGGATGTATGGATCTTTCCTCAGTGCTCCTCCACTCAGTGCTGGTAACTCACTGGCCTTTTATTTATTTATTTATTTCAGGTATTTAGTAATTTATTCTAATTCTTTATGGATACATTTGTTCTTCTCCATTATGGACCTACATTCTTTTCCAAAAGCAGTTTTGCTGTTAGGGAATATTTGATTCACTGCCATTTTCAGACCATTTTGTATTTTTTGTGGCTTTTTGATTTCTCCTGTACTGCACAGAGCATTTGTTGCACAGCATTTTGTGATTATTTCTTCACTGCCACCATTTCAGGTGTGGACTCCATGCACAACTATGAGCTGGTTCTTCAGCAGATTCGATATCGTAACTGGTACACTTCTGCCACCTTTGACAGAAAGTTCAGAGTCAAGTGCTCTGAGCTAAATGGGCGTTATACCAGCAATGAATTCATCTTGGAGGTAAGCAATAACCAGGTTAAGCCTTTCTTTTCTAGCTCTGCAGCTGAGAACTAGCCTCATCGTCAATGACACTGACTTTTTGCTAAAATCTGTAGAATGAGTGACAAGTTCTGTTATCAATAATCATATAGAGGAAACATTTTAAGTTCTGTACAAAGAGGACATTGACATTTGTCAGCACTCCTCAGTGTGGGTTTGTCTAGTTAGCTGCATATTTGAGGAGAAGATGATGCGTCTCTTGAAATCCACTAAGAGAGAATTACTCGTTCTCAATTGGAATGGAGGATAAGGTCATCATCATTAGTTCTCCATAACCTAACTGTCACATGAAATCTCCTACAGGTGTTTTTTTGTTTGGGGTGGGGGTGTTTGTTTTGAAGATGTGTACACCTGCTTAGAAGTAAATCATCACAGCCTCATAATTTTTCTTACATTAGTTATTTTTTAATTTAACCCATTACACTTGTCTTTCCTGAAGTATTCACCCTTTTCATTTTTGCCAAGCACTACCTCCTTATAATAAGCTTTATAATTTGTACTTCATTAGATGGAGATTATTCCTGGTAACTTACATGATTTCAGGTTCCTTTGAGAAGGAAAGTCAATATACAGGTAATGAATGCTTAGGGTAGACTTCGTCGTTCGTACTACCTAGACACGGTCAGTTGCCACAGGAAAATTTGACTAGCACTTTTGAGCTTATTTTTTGCTGATACTAAGTCCAGTGCATCACAGTGGCTCCACTGACAGAGAGTTGCTGCTGATGCATCTTAGCAGGAATCATGTACCCAGCCTGAATAAATCTGTTACCTAGCCTGTAACCCAGGTACCAAGTAACTACGGGAGAAGGGAACATCTTACCAATACGCCTAAAATTTAACAATTGGTTTTGAAGGTCTGTGCATACTTAAGTCCTATTGAAATCTCTTCTTACTTCAGCATTCTGCAGCCCTGACGATGACTTCAGGGTTTGTGCTTATAATGTAACTATGAGTAAGACAGAGGAGAATGAATGGTACCTTCAAAGAAAGTTACCCTCTGAAAGTAGGGACTCAGGAATAGCTGAAACCTCTTTTAGTTCTCTCTTTGGTTTTAATCTCAACAGGTTTGATATATTGTCTGTCAGATCTCAAAAAAGAGATTCCTTTTCCGCGCCACTTCAAAGTCTTCAACTGAAGGACCACTAATGCTAGAAATCAGAAATACGCTAACCTGAGTATTTTTCTCTGGTCTAAAAGAATGAATTTGACCTTTAAGGGATATATAATAATGTTCCTATCTGCTGATGAATCTCTTAGTACAATATAATGTATTATGGAGCCAGCTGTCTTGGAATACAGAGCTCTTCCTTTTAGTATCTGATCACTTATTCTTCACTTGTGCCAGGTTAATATTCTACACAGCTCAAACTCCAACTTTATGGATCATGTAAACCATATGATAGTACAGCCGCAGTTTCTCCAGTCTGTCCACCATCCAGAGGGAAGCATAAGTACTGTTCACAACTCAGGTATGTGATGCCTTTTCAGAGTCTGCTCATAATGATGCTGGTACATCAGTATTTCCCTTGTGATTCAAACTAGTCAACAAATGAAGCTCTGAAGTCCATAGTTACACTTTGTGAAACCTCACCCTGATTATTGCACAGCTATGACAGATGGCAACATTGAATTCTCTCCTCCTGAGGAGGTGCTTTGGAATCAAAAACTGTTTTCCATTTTTAAGTCTACTTTAAAGGTTATGTAGTCTGACCCACCCAGTTAACAAAGTGTCTTGTTTCTAGTATTGAATGGTATGACAGGTAACATTCATGCTTATATTGTCCTTATACATCTGTATTTCTATGGCATATTAATTTTTGTAGATCTGTTCCTAGGCAAATAGAAGTAATTTATATATAAATATAAGTATAAATATAACTAAATATACATATATATAAGCAATAACTTGTGCAGTGCTTCTGCTAGCTGCTGTCCAGGCCTTGGTCTGGAGCTCTATGCAGAATTGCTCCTAGGCATGCACAGGGAGCATTAGTATACATTAAATACAGAATTTGAACTGAATTTTTGGGCTGTCTAAGTTAAAATATCTGCCCTACCTTTTCAGTGAAGTTAAACCCAGGCCAAAGCTATCTGTTTCAATGCTGGATTCTGACATACTTTTAGCTTAATGATACATGTGTAAGGAAGTAAAGCTGATGTAAAGGGCAGGTAATAATAAGTACTTACAGATAGTTATGGTTAGAAAATTACTGATTTTTTTCTGTAAACTTGTATGGATATTCTGCTATTGCAAAATGAATTTTGCAAACTAGTTCTTTTTTTACTTGTTTTGATTTCAGCATTCCTACAGGCAAGGCACCAAAATAGGGTACAGAATTACTGTAGCTCCTGGAACTTCAGTGCCTAGGTAGCAAAGGTACATAAAAGTGGCAGCACTTCTCCACTAACACATACAGTTATGAAGCTGATAACATAAGAATAGTTCAGAGAGATACCTTCCTGTGTCTAGCTGAAGACAGAGGCTTCTCAGAATGCAACAGAACAGTGAGGAAAAATATCTTGAATCCTCAAGAGTCTCCCAGCAAGGCCGTAATACATGGAAACAGAGTGGCAATGCTTTATTTTAGTTTGGGGGGATTGAAGTGCCTTGAAGTGATGGAAGTGATTGAAACCGTCTAAAATAAAAACTTGGAGATACACTTTTTCTCACAAGTGATGTTAATGCTTCACTTACCTATAATCAGAAGGAGACAACGTAGGGTTAATTGACCCCAACTGCAAAGACAGTTGTTCTGAAACTAACTGATACTGAACTGATTGACTGCCTGTCATCTATAATGAAGTGGCTCAAAAAGTAAACATTAGGCATGATCGCTTTTTAGTAAAGGTTTGTAATACTCATTAGTAGGTGTCTGCAAATGCTGTTCATGTATGCTATGCCCTAGGAGGTGGGCACATGTCACTACTTTCTGTAATCCTAAGCAGATGTCAGAAAGATGGCCAGAGTCTCAAGCCGAAGGAACAGGTGCTGAGAAGGAAAAAAAAATAGACAATGTGTTTAGTGTTTTGTAGGCAATTTGGTCCATAGATATAAGCCTATTGCTTTTCCACTTTTTGTTCCAGTTGTTCCAAGTGTGGCTACTATTGTTATTGTGATCTGTGTGAGCATACTTATTGTCATCATAGCCTTGGGGATCTATAGAATTCGGACAGCTCATCAGCACAGCTCTACAGACAATGAAGGAAGTAAAGAAAATGAAATGGATTGGGATGATTCTGCTCTGACTATTACTGTCAACCCCATGGAGGTACATCACTGAAGCATATTATTACATTATGATAATACCAGGAGATACTGTCTGGACTGGTAGCTTGCTTAGCAGTAAGTTTAAAGCCTACTTCAGAGGACATTTATTTAGGCTTGGCAGAATAGTTGTGTGTACACACACTGAGGATCCCAGCTTAGTTTTGAACTCTGCACACCATGGTAATATTTGTTTTCATAAGTAAGTAATTGCTAAATAGGATTGTGCAGAATTCCTGGGTACACCACCACTTCGCCATCCATCTTTGCACACCAGGCACCCAAGATGATGGAGTTAAATTGTTTTTAACCTTTCTAACTGTAAACACTAATACACTTAAAGAAGGAGAAATGATCATCAAGTCAAAGAAACTGACACTGACGGGTTAAATTTTGGCAGCTTGACTGCCAAAGGTATCCCTTTTGATTATTAAGCGATTATTATTATAGTATTATTATTATTATAAGTGATTATTATTATAGTATTATTATTATTATAAATGATTGTTAAGTGATTGTTATTATTATTAAGTGATTATTATCACTTGACTGCCAAAGGTATCACTTATTAATATTCCATTCCTGTTACAGTAGGTTTTGAGTATTTGCTACTGAATGGTATTCATTTGATGTCTAATACCCACAAATGGTGGAAAGCAGATTTTCCCAGCATGCAAACATTTCTAAATGATATGGAGTAAGGGTTCACATTCTCGTAGCCACTGGCTAGCAAGAATAGCTCTTTTCTTCTACTGTCTCTTCCATTTCTTTGAATATGTTACAGAAATATGAAAAGCCTCACCAGGCAGAAGAGGAGAGTGAGGAGGAAGAAGACATAGAAGATGAAGAGGAAGACACGACCAGTGCTGAATCCGATGAAAGTGAAGAGGAGGAGGAGGAGGAAGAGGAAGACGTGATTGTTCAAAAGGGAGACAAACAGAATGCCACCAGGCAAGAGCAGTTGGAGTGGGATGATTCAACACTGCCATACTAACGTACATACTCTGGCCACATTGCTCCTTTTGTAACCACCAATACAATGCTTTTCAGAGTCTATGAATTCATTGACAGGATTTGAACTTCTGCTTGCCTATAACTGTTGTTTTGCCTAAAATGATCTTGTTGTAGTAATTGGTGATAGAACTGAACCTTTTCCTACAAAGCTTGGAGAATGCATGGTGCAAAAATACTGGCATCACCAGTAATAGAGTAATCTAGAACGTGATCTGTTAGCAAGTATAGGCTTCAATTTCTTGTTTCTGTACCACAGGCCTCTGACGAAAGTCCTGTCACTCAATCCATAGCGGTTTTTGCCTTTGCTATTTTTTTCATACAGGAGAGATTTCAGCTTGTTATGAAGATTTATCTATATGGGTCCAAATAACACAGCAGCCATTTGGCTTCACACTTTTACAGGTGTAAAAATATAATTCTATTTCAAATTAGGACAGTTTTAGTGCTACAGGTGACAGAGACTGTATTCCATTTGTCGTCTCTTCCTGCCATCTTGGATATTAACTGTCTTCTACAAGGGAATATTTAGGACTTGACCTGGGATGCATGTGCGCCTATGTAAAAATGGACAGTGTATTTTTCAGGAATGCTGTCAGAACCCTGAAGACAGGGACTTTATCCAATTTGCCCATTGAGGCTTAAGAAAGTTTAAAAAAAAAAAAAAAAGCAACAAACCAGCAACAAGGGGATGCTGAAGGTTACAAAAAATAAAATAAACCATTGTATATCCACAAATTAATATGATCTTACAGAAACTGTAAATTCTAATGGAATTGATATACTGAAAACCTGTAGAGTTGCTCATTAGTTATGGATTGAACAATTTGCAGCAAATCAATGCTTTAACCGTCTGTCTCGTAAAATCATTAGCTTGCTGCAGTATCTTACTGAAGTAGAGGAAAATAAGTGACCCCATTATTCCACAGGTATGTACAGTTGGGATTTAAACAATGATTTTTACATGAAGAAAAAGTTCCCTTTTGCTTTATTGAATGCCAGCTGGAATTCCTGTATGGCTTCATTCTGTAAAACATTATGCCCTGTTTCTTCTGTACACTTACCACCCATGAGTGGCACAAGAGAAACATACATCTATCAGCCCTCTTGTGCTCATAATTTGCCCGCATTTCTTCTTCCTGAAGCCATTTTTGTTGACAAAAGGTTTTATAGAGTAGAACAAGAACAAATAAAACCTACCTGGAACCAAAAGAAGAGAAGAGAAAAAAAAAATCCTAAGAGGTTGAGAGAGTATTTTAGTTTGTTATGGTAACACAGCATATTTTTCTTATACACTGTTTAAAGGAAAAAAAAAAGGCTACGTAAAATGTGTTGGTAAGTCTGTGTGGTGTGTTTTCCGTCCCCTTTCCTTAATAGTCTTTGTATCTTCAAATGCTCTGCATACCAAATGATGCAGCACTAGCTAGGATAACTGTTCTAATGCATATAAAAAAAAAAAAAAACAAACAACAAATGGCATGGAAGTGAATGCTGCCTAGTGGCTTTTCTGCTCCTTTCCCAAGTAGTTCCTTTTCTTTATTACTTCATTGCTGACTTTAGCATTTGTAATTTGCTACTTCAAATGAGTTACTTACTCTTTTCTTCTCTCCCAAAGAAACAAGCAATCAGTCTTGCCACAATAGGATGTTCTTGAGCACTCATGAATGGTAGCTGATCCCACAAAGAATAACCTAAGCGATTTTGAGGGTATCTACCTCCCTCAATAGTTTCTGTTTATTAGAAACTGGTCTTAGAATATAGAGAATGTATTGTTTTTTTGTTGTTGTTGTTGTTTGTTTTGTTTTTAATTTATCATCAGTGTTTTGGTTTGGTTTTGTTTGTTTGTTTTTTAATTACAGCTTCTGCATCTGATAGCTGTAAGGAAAGATGGACCTCAACTGGTCACTGTAGTTTAATAACTGGAAAGTAAATGAAAAGAACCCTAAATATATTTTAAAATTTGATATCCTTATGCTGTTTTTTGTTGTTGTTAAGACTGGCAATACACAAGTTTTCTTATATGTGTAGTCCTATTTGATTTTTGTACTGGTCTTTTACATGAATTAAAATAATATTTGCAGAATTGAGCCCAGATACATAAAAAATTATCTGCAGGAATAAAGATCATATAAAATGAACTAAAATTTCTGTTTATGTACCATCTAACCAGAACAGAAAGATTTATGTTAAAACATTTCCTAGCATCCTAGCACCCTACATCATTTCCTGGTGTTAATTTTTTTGTTAGTGACAAGAAGCAGGCCCTTCATGATGCTTGTTATCAGCACATTTGTTAGCAAATCTTTCTGTTCAGGAAAAAAAAAAAAAAAGGAGAGATCTAAAATTAAAAGTAGATATGTAAATGTCAATTTCAGTTTTAAAAGTGGACTTAAATTATTTTTAAAGTCTCTGTTGTTCCTAGTTATTATTATTGTTGTTATCACAGCAAACGTTAGGGCAACTTAAAAACAGCAATTTAGAATCTGACATCTGCCTTTAATTCTTTTATAAATTTGTTTCTATATAGGTGTATTTGTTCATCTAGTGTGTTGTTGTGTTTTGTTTTTTTTTGTCTTTTTACTACTGGAAGCAAATCTTTTCAGGTCATGCTGGTACATTACAAAAGAAGCAAACATGACGTATTTTCTCTACTGTAAATAAACCTACCTTTTTAGACCTAAGCATGGTAATACAAGAATGTGTGTTATCACTAGAATTTGGTTTGCAACAAAATATTCAGAATGTATCACTGTACATATCTTAGATTGCTAGTTGGGGTGGCTTATACAGCATTTTTCATTCAGGTGAACAGAAAAATCCTTTTCCCAAAATGTTAGTGAGAATAAGCTATTTCTTCACGAAATGGACCTTAGCATATTTGTGTAGAATTTGACAAGAATGGCTTTATTAGCAAAAGCCTACTAGTAGAATAATATATAAATATGGAACTTGGAACTAATTTTAACAATATTGCCTCCTCTCCATTAATTTTTTGGACATAAACTAGGTGCTTAGAAACCAAGCAAGAACGCATACATCTATACAGGCATGCAAGCACATGCACAGATCTCCCTTAAAAGCCAAAAATACTCTACTTTCATTAAAAGAAAAAAAGTGTTTACGCTGCAAACTCTGAAAGGGCAACTGCAGTGTCTGACGTGTCAAGTTGTAATGTTCATCCTTACCCCAGTTGCAAGGTTGTGCTATCAACACACACACACACACACACACACACACAGAAAGGTGGCTCTTTTTTTTACAGTAGCAGTAAACAAGTGCATCCAAAAAACATCCCTGAAAAGGTACCTGTAATAAATGACATCTGTGACTCCAGAGATTTAAAATGACATCAGACTAAGGAATGCTTTTAAATTACAGGATTAAAATTACAAAATTATACAAAATTAACTCAAGGCTGGGAGAAAAAAGAAAAAAAAAAAAACAACAAACAAACCTACAAACGTTAAGATGGTGATACACTGTTATCTGCATTAATGTAACAGTCTAAGTTGCTTTTTTGTGATGACTAGATCATATTTCTTCTTCACTTCCTTCCCCTCCATGGATATTTTATCTTTGCAAACAGAAGCAGACCTAAAGATGCACAGTTGTTGAGATCAATCTCAGTCTGTACTGCATTGGCTGACACCAGTTCAAATTAGAAATAGACGTAAGGTTTGTGACATCTTTAATGCTAATTAAAATAAAATGTTGTTTGTGCTGAAATATTTGGTCATTCAAAAAAGCAGTAGTGTCCTGCATTGGTGGCTCAGCTGCTTTCAAACTGATGAGAACCTCCCCTTCCAAGGGCTACTGTACAGGTGCAATCTAGTTCCCTTCCTGGTGTGTTGTGCTGGGCTTGCTCTGAACGTGCACCATCTGTGCTTCATTCAGGAGGAAAATAAGACTCAGAAAGGGTCAGAGGGTGATAAAGGTTATGTGGTAGGAATGGAATCCACTGTTCCCATCACACAAGCTGCCCCTTCTGCAAAGGTGAACATGATGCCATAGGACATTAGCAGCCCCAGGATAAGGAATGGCCAGAAGATAATTCAAGTAGCAGCCCTAACTTTACTTCAGCAAACTTTCTGAATCCTGTGCGTACTGATTGTGTCTCTTTCCCTAACCCAAGAGGCAACTCTAATGCTTTTACCTGGTGGGGATCCCATCAGGCTGTGAGATAATGCTGCCTCTAATGGAAGTTTTGGTGCCAGCATGTGCACCACCCCCATCATCTCCACTGCCATCCATGCTTAGCAGATGAGGAAAATGTCATGCTTTACGGAGGTGACAGCAGGTAAAAGTCCAATGGGGTGGCCCCAACAAGCTGCTGCTGGTGTTCTGGAATATACAATATACCAAAATTAAGGAGGGTTGTAGGAGCATGTGGATAGTTATTTAGTATTGACTTATTTAGGGAGAGGAAATTAAACTGTGAGGACATCTCCAGTGCTTGAAAACCTCTCTTCTTTCCTTAATTCCGAATGCTGACTAGATTAAGTATACCCATACCAGTATAGCACTACCAGGTTTTGTATGTGTAGTGAAAATGACAATAAACACCTCTTAGCATAATACAACGTCCATATGAAATATTTCCAGGAATATAGCTGGTAGCAAAGGAGCCAGATACTATCATGATTAACACCTTAATTTTATTTATTTAGCAGCAAATTTGTTTCACCTTTGTAGTTGTTTCCTGGATGTATACTATTTCTGCACTACTCCTAAAAAAGTCCCCACAGATTCAACAGCAACAGTAAGAGAACACCTCATTTGACAAAAAATGAAGGTATCATAATTTATACAAAGGTATTTTCAATATAGTTAGCTATTTGTCTTTTGTTTCTTGATAAAATCCCAGTGTTGGAAAAAAAAAAAAAAAAAAAAAATGAAGTAATTTTTTTGACAAATACTGACAGTTTTTCAGAGCAAGAAACCATAGTGATACAAGTAGAAGTTTGAAAAACACACACAAACTGATACTATATTGCATGCATATATATGTGACTTAAAATATTTAACCTATTTGTATAGAAATATACTACCTAGCTTGGAAATACACATCTTGTTTTCTCCAGGGTTTTCTATGAAGCTGTATAGATTCAAGCAGCACATCTAGAGATGAAGAATAGCTGAAAATGCTGGAATCAAAGTACATAGAGTCTGTGCCCTTACAATATGCCAATTTGGTATTTTTGAGGATTCCAGTCTCATACTAGTCAACTTCTGGAAACTTGAAAATCAGAGACAAATCACCAATGAGCTCTGTTTCTGCCCTGGTAAAATTACTAACAAAAAAAATGGAAATACTGGCTACGGGAGGGTGGGGGGAGGGCTGAATGTGTAGTAAAGCAGCCTCAGCTTGATGTGTCACACGCTTTTGATGGTACACCTTAGGATTGTGCACCCCTGCATGATCTCTGTCACTGCTAACCTTTCCTTAGCATCTGATTCAGGAGGTTTGCACACACCAGTCACACAAAGCTAAGGCAAAGAGAGAAATAATTTAAAAAAAAAAAAAAAAGAGCGAGACAGTCAAATAGATCAAAAGTAAAAATGCCTCTGAAAATACTAATTGTATGTAATGCTTGTTACATAAATATGATTTTCCTCATGGTTCAGTCAGTATCAACAATCATATAATAATACTGGGTTTCTGCCTCCTCATGCTAACCTAAGCAAGATGGCAGGCTTTGTTCAGGCCACATCATCAAAGCCCAGATTCTTTAGACCTCATAGGGTCAAAAGTGATGCAGGTGTTGCCAACAAAACACCTCAGTCCTTTTGGCTAATCCATACTTCATAAGATATTACACTTTTTACAGCACCCAAAAGCAAACAGTGATCCTGCACAATCTTTGAGAATTAGAAAAACATAAGAAAACAGAAGAAATGAGAAGAAAAAGGAGAAGAGACGAAAGGAGAACATAACAACCAGTGCTGGGTGTGTTTTAAGCTGAAAAACTTCAGGTCACTGAATGTGTTCGGCTTCCCGGTAAAAGAGATGATGAGAGACTCAGATGAATCAACAGATGAATTCAGGTGTATCCTGTGATCAGATCAGACTGTTTGCTTTAGCACTGGGGTCTTTTTTGTTGCTGTTTGGCGTATTTTTTTAGATTAGTTTCTCCTGGGAGCCAGATTCTTTTTTATTAGAGAATAAAGACACATTTGAAGGATGAACACTAATGCTACAGCAGGGTAAACCAAGTAGTCTGTTAATGTACCCAAAACCACAAAATATTTCTGCAAAATATATCAGGAAGATTACTCTACAGGTGTCTCAGCAGGTAACTAAACTTCATTGCCTTTTATATGTAACAGGGTACAAGCCTGGTATATTTTAGGGACTTCTTTTAATTTATTTTTTTCCCCTAAAGAAGAGAGTCTTAAAACAGAAATTTGGAATGCTCAAACTAAGCAAAAGGGGAAGGGATGCATGGACATGGACTTTTTCTACACAAACTTATGTCTAATAAATGATTTAAATATGTATGTATATATATATATATATATATATATATATACACATATATATATATATTCTTACACCCACACAACTGAAGGTTGACACAGGACAATGAAGCCAGGAGGTGATATATGTTCATATCTAATTTAATTCCTGGCGATGAATGTCTCTAGATCAGGTTTCTTGTTTCCCAAGGGGAAATTTTGCTGCCTTCTGAGTAGTTATTGACAGTGATTCAATAGTTAGAGTTACAGTTTCCATTCTCTCCTTGTAAATAGGAATAATGATAGCGAAATACTTTGCAAAGCACTATGAGCCCCGTAGTTGAAAAGCACTGCCAAAGAGCTTGCTGGCATTACAATCCAATAATTTTGTTGCAGCACTACTTACAGACCTCCATTGCAGAGCATCCTAGACACACAAAATGAATGGGAATGGTTACAGTCAAAAATTTGAGACTCCTGTTTCCTTGGTTATTGCTTAGGAGGAAACAGCCACAATAGTTTGAAACATTACCAACATTTAAAAGAGCGTTCAGAAAAAGCCCTCATTCCTATTTTCAGTTCTGTAACTCGTGGAAATTCTGCATTCATCAGCTGTAGAAGCTACAGGGCCACGTACTGTCAGTATTTATGCCTCTGCTGAGAGCAAAGAAGCAGAAGAAATTTTTTCAAAGCTAAGTACATTGTTTGATAAAGGAGAGCAGCTTTCACTAGGCAAGGTGCATAAAGCCTGCCAAAGGCAAAGAAAAATTGTTTCCAAATGTAGGACAAAAGTTTTACAATAGTACTATAACACTACATCTGTATACTACCGAAACCCAGAAATTTTGTGGGAGTAAAGGCTTTCTGCTGCCCTACTTTCTATAACTCTGGATACAGTTTTGCATTTTCAGAGTTTAACTTCCTTGCTAGATATAAAATTCTTTCAGGTTCCTTTAGGTTTATTAACAAATAAACTATTTTCTAGCTTAATTTTTCAGTATATATGAACAAAAAAAAACTATACAAATTGTTAAAATTACATCTTCTTTTCTTTATATTTCTTTCTCCCTTAAATGTATAAATGACTGTAAAAGATTAGACCAGATAACCCTGACCAAGTCTGCTACTATATGCTATATATACAAATCAGTATTGAAACTGGCAGCAGATTTTTGCCTATGGTCTGTTAATGTGCACATACTGACATGAGGAGGTGGATGGTTTTAACTGGGCATGTTCTTTGGAATGTGGATTGGATTAATTGCAGTCAGTTCTTTTTAAAAACTGAATTATATTTGGACAAGAGTGAACAAAAGAGGGAAGAAAGAATAATCCATGAATAATGAACAGAGAGAGTTAAGGTTTGAAGTTGATGTAAAACAAACAAACAAACCAACCCTGGAATTTACTAGAGGGACTAAAAGCTTGAGTGTCAAACAGTAATAAAATGGAAACATGCCATCTGCATGTCCAGAACTGACAGTTATCAGCAGTCAACAAGAAGAACTGAATACAGGATGTTGACAGGTTCCTGAGATGATGGGGTGTGTGTGTGTGTGTGTATATATATATATATATTTAAAAAATGCCTAATACTACTTCATCATTCCCAGCATGGAGGTAGTTGTGGTAATGAACTAGAACCTGAAGTATTCTGAAATGGTTGTTGCTGCCCATAGCTGGTTCATTAGTTACAGCACCTCCAGCAGAGCTGGGAAGGGAGCAAGACCATGACAAATATTACTGCACCATGCCTGCATTAAGTAGGAAATGCTGTATGGCTAAGGCTGGCCAATGGTGATTTGAGCCAAAGCATTTGGTCTGCAGTGACTCAAATATAATGGTAGTTATCACACGTTTTAATTTGAAGTGTGAAATGAAACTTTTGCACAACAACTGTGTTGCTAAGTTTTAGAGAGTTTGTGCAACCAACATACTCCATAGATTGGAGGAGGAACTGGGAACACCCAACAAAGACTGTACTCCACGTTGTAAAGGTCCTTAGGTAAATGTATTGTCACAATCCAATTTCTTAACTGTACATATAGTTAGGAACCTTGATTTTGAAGAGACACAAAATGAAAAAAAAAAAAATCAAGGATAATAGTAATCCCTGTCCAATTCTGAGAGCTGAAGCTGTTATCTCCATTCTCAGAATCAAACACTGGCATGTTTATTGTTAGATTCTCCACAAAGCAATCCAAAACATGAAGAGGATATCTCAAAATATTTTATATCATTGTAAATACTGCACTGGTAGAATCTCAAATAAATGCCTGATTATGGTCAACAGGCAGTTCTGTTCGAACAGTCCTCACAGCAAGGATAAATGTACCAGGCTGGGTTATTGCTTGCAGGTTAGTAAACACTGGGGTTCACGTTCCCGCTGATAATTGTTTCATTTAAATTTCAGTGTGTGTGCAAGTTGCTGTTAGACTCACTAAATCTTAGAAATAAAGATTAGATATAAAGAAAAAGTAGTACAGGTAGCATATTAAGCTAAGAGTGCAGAATTGTTCCCTAGAATATATTTTCTAGTGTTAGGGATGGGGAGAGGAGTGTTTCTTATAGGTTTCTAAGCCTGGGGCTTCTACTGCTTCTCATGGGAGAGTATTCTAGAGTCTACTAAAAATCAGCATAGAAAGCTTTTCTTGATAATTAATTTAAATAACCCTTTTTCTAATTTTTTATCTCATTAGTCCCAGTTACACCCTTTTGCACCACCCAAAATAATTCTTCTAACTGTGATGTATATCCTTTCAATACTTTTAAATAGCGATCAAGTTCATTGCCTTTGCTTATTTGTTACAGAGGCTATGAATCACCTCACCAACACCCCCAATTCATTTCTTCAGTCTCATCTTCTGTTCACTTTTCATGGAATTCCATCTATTACAAAATAAATAAATAAATAAAAATCCTATTTCCTAAAATTTATGTCGAGGCCTGATTTTAAACACATTTTGCAGTAATGTGTGGAAGAGTTCAGATGCAGCATGACTGTGGCAGTGTCTTTTATGTCAGTATGATTTAACGAAGCCAACCAATAAGCACTAGAGCCAAACAAACAGTACCTACTTAACAAAGTAGCAATTTGTTAAAATTTAAATGGTTGTTACTAGTATGAAAACAGAAATTTTCACGTGCCCATGCTTTTCAGTGCATTAAACGGTAATCATTACCAATACGTTTCTTTAAGACAGACTGGTGTATGTTGTTTCTCCTCAGATCTGACTGGTAGAATGCTCCTACTTTCTAAAATGATTTCTAGCCTCACGTTAACTGCTGCAGTGAAACAGAGTCGTGCCAACCTTTCTCAGCACTGCTGTGCCTAACATTATGTTTCAGATTTGCAATGCACATATGGTCTCTGGCTGTCACGATGACTATATGGTTAGTTTTCAAGCATGCCCCAAGCAAATCTCTGTTCTCTGGCTCAGAAGCCTGATTACCCAGGCAGCCACCTAGGATGTACACAGTCAGCTTGGCTCTTTTATTTGGTATTTTTCCTTCTTCTACTCCACCTGACTGTACCTGAAAGCCAAAATAACTGAGGTCCTCGTGCTCAAAGGCTGTGGGGATTCTTGCATCACCATCTCACTATAACCTGAGTGAAGTTAAACCATCTCCCTCACTTGCTCTGTTTAAAAGAAGTAGCGCAAACAGGAGAGCAGGCACACTTTGCCTTCCAGGGTTGACTTCCCTCGGCACATCTCTGTGCCTCATCATCTAGCACTGTACAGATGATATTATATGGAATGTTAATTGCCATCACCTAATCAAACAGATGACTTCCTTGAAGTTGGCTAATAAAAGGCATGAGAAAAGTTAGCAGAAATGTCTTTCCATTCTCTAAAAAACCTGTGTCACTACAGATGCCCATCAATCCCCAGACCACGTTTCCAAAAATGAGCCATGGCATGAATAATTCAATAAATTATTAAGTCTAATAGATTACATGGGGAGACAATTAAGTCTTGCAAGTTGAGGTTGCAACACAGAGGGAGACAAAAGACTTCCTGAGCAAGGAACTATGAAATATGGCTTATCATGTGATGAGCAGCAGAGCAGGAATCAGAAATTCACCTCAATGTTGCTGGAGCTTGGTAAAAGGGGTTGTTTCTGGTTATAATTGTCCAGATAGTTATGAAATAGCTTACATGTTATTCAAGCTGCAGAATTTGAAGAGCTGAAAAATAATCTCATACAGAGTGTAACAGCTCTGGGCTCTAATTGGCTGGGGCAATTCAGCCTCTCATTTCATTGTAGCTTGACAGTAAAAGTGTTACTTCATCTAATTGCAAAAATGTAGAACTTTTCACATGTAGTTCATCATTTCCCAGATTTGCTTCTGTATCAGTGCATTAGTTCTTGTTGAGAAGCAGTAACTGCATTTGGTAGTGTCTCTTTTGTAGCTTGGGATCGTTTCCTAGCAGACAGTCTGATCTCTGTGTAATTGTGGCCACTTCTATTGACAATAAAAAATATGCCAGATGGGATTCAAATGAACACATACTCTATGGTTATGACCATAGAGGATGACCAGCTCTATGGTTGTGACTGTGTTTCAAACCAACAATCTCTTCAGTCCAGGAGAGATACTCATTATATAAAATACCTTAATGTGTATGTGAAACAATCATAAAACACATCTTGAAATGTCTTGTTGCAGATGCTAAATACATTTATGAAAGTGTGAATATATACAATTTATGCAGGATGATGAGTTAAATGACTATATGCAATGAAAAATAAAAATATGAACTTAAAATGATTTTTGAACACAGAAAAAAAATCTGCTTTTTTAAAAAGAAAATTTTTCTTTATGAAGATGTACAGTAAATGTTGACACGTAGTAACATACATGAAAGTTAACTTTACATAGATTGGGAATAAGTTGTGTGCAACCCTCCTCCCGTCTGTCCCCCCATGGCATAGTGGTGTATTTCATTAAAAAAACAAACATGTCACTTTGCAGTTTTTTATGCATTTGAGATTGTTAATATCCTGATGTTTTCCACATAATTTGCAAAATGCATAATGGAAATAGATCTGTTATTTTAAAAGTTGGCCTGTACATCTGTACGTGTATAAAAACAGATACATTTTTGTGGTCACTATGGCACTTTCCGTGAATTGGCCAATAAATATAATTTTAGAATTTCACATAAAAGATAATGTTCTGTAATCTTCATTTCACCAACTATTGAGATTTTCTCATTTCCTGAACAAGATCTCTTAAACACTAACACCTCTGGTGGCAGAGGTTAAATATCTGGTAACTGTCCACAAATTTTCTGATTCCTGGGGAGTAATAAGTCATGTGCCAAAAGACTCAATGCAGTTTTAAAACATTTAAATAACTTTTCATCCTTCTTCTGAGAGTATGGGAAGGGAACCTTTTGAAAATTTGTTATTATTTACATTTAAAGTCATCTATTTTCATACTGCATTTCAGTCTGACAAAATATGATATAATATTAAAGAAAAAACTGGTTATACAATATTTTACACAATATGTCAAATAGTAAAATGTGAAAAATATAACTTGGAGTCATCTGAGTAAAAATTACACTCACACAGGTGATACATGTGTGCTGATCAGGAGGGCAGGAATATGCCTGACTCCTTTTTGCCTTGTGCTCTGCCTGGAGCTTTCCTCACCACTGGTTCGTCAGACTGAATATCATTCTTTAACGAGATGATACACTAATTGCATCACAATACAATAGAAACTCAACATATGTATTTAATTAGCAGCTCTCAGTTAAGTACCCAACATCTGAAAACTAAGACACAATTCATCTCGGTTGAATTTTCAGAAGAGTCTAAGTCCCACCTCTGAAGCCTCAGCGAAGGTAAAAGCCTAACCTGAACCACTAATCACTGTCCCCAGTCTTAGCTGGGTCATGCTGGGCATGAGAAGTCATCAACATAAAATCACAGAATGGCTTGGGGTGGAAGGGATCTTGAAGATCATCCAACTCCAACCCCACTGCCACGGGCAGGGATGCCACCCACTAGATCAGGTTGGCCAAAGCCCCATCCAGCCTGCCCTTGAACACTTCCAGGGATGGGGCATCCCCAACTTGGATCCACAAGTCATGCTGAAAGATGTTGCACTTTTGGTTTCGGTGGAACAGCATCCCTCAGCTTTGGAAAAATCTCTCAGGGAAAATCTTGCCTATATACTACGAACAAGAGGCAGTGAGCCTAACCCTGTTTGTCATGGCTACAGAGCAGCATTACGGATGTACAGATTTCAAGCAGCAGGTAGTCCCTGCTTTCTGCATCTCACATCCAGACAATGGAGCCTGTCACCGTAGCCTTAGAAATCCATTCACACTGTTTAGCCAGATCTGGTATATCTAAGCAGCAATACTGAGAAGGCTAAACATCAGACAATTTAGACATACAGAACTAGAACAAAACAAAAAACTAGTAAGTAAATAATTTTCTATGAATGCTATTTAATATAGTATATAGAATGGATACAGTATTTACTGTGAAAATGGCTTTGCTTATACAATTAAGATATATACCAAAGATGCCTGCATTTATGAAGGTCAATGTCATATAATACCATAAAACATTATCATATTTATCTGTAAATAAGTGCAATAGCCTACAGGACCTAATAAATGTGGCCTTTTTCTGAGTTAAAATATGTAATGATTTGTTCAGAGCAACTGCATATAAACAGTTGATAGATATTCATTTTTAGCATTTATTGATCTATTCTTATTTAGGCTGCATAATAAAATTCATCTTACACATAAGAGGAGAAACATATAGTAACTTAGACTTAGTCCTCTTTTGCTTCCTCACAATTTCTGAGTTTACAAAAAAGCATAGCTGTGTTATTGCAAAAGTTGAGCTAAATGCAGTCACCAGTCGTGTTAGCTGAAGGGGTTTGCCAGCCAGTGTTTTCTGACTTAAGGAAAAACTAAAACCTAACCTGCCAAATCTCATTAACATCCCATCCTGTCCTAATTGTGTCTCCCTTTGTCACACAGAAGGAACCTTGCAAGCAGGTGTATGTGTTCGGTCTGCCTCACTCTGCAGGCACATCGTACAGGAGTGACAGCAAAGCGATGGGGCAAGCAGCTGAGGACTAAGCTACCATTCCGAGGGATGTCACCACGCTGCAGAAACAGCCTGACAAAACTTTAGCAATGGCAAACATGAAGACACCTGGGACAGAATAAGCCCCTGCAACAGTACAGGTTGGAGGCTGAAGAGGTAGAAAGCAGCTTTTTGGCATGCGACTTGTGGGGAGGGAGGGGCGAGGTGGTCAAGGTGGGCAGGAGTAAGCAGTGCACTCTTTTGTTGGTGAACACAACCACTTACTGGCCACATTAGTAAGAACATACTAGCAGGCTAAGAGAAGTGATTATTCCCTGTATCTGGCATTACTGAGGTTATATCTGAAACTCTGTGTCCAGTTTTGGGTTCCCCAGTACAAGACATTGACAAACTAGGTAATCTAGTGGAGGCCCACCAGGATTGTAAGGGATCTGGAGTACCAAATGTATCAAGAAAAGCTGAGAGCTGTATTTGCTCAGCCTGGAGGAAACTGAGGAAGGTTCTAATTGCTGTCCTCAGCAATTTTTTTCTTAGAGACACTACCAAAATGACAAGAGGCAACAGATGGATGTTGCAACAAGTGTAATTGCAATTAGAAATTCACAATGAGGCCAGCCAAACACTGGGAGAGGGACACAAAGAGGCTAGGGAATTTCCATCCACAGAGATATTCAAAACTCAAAAAGTTGAGGCCCTGAGCAGCCCAACCTAACTTTTAAGCTGGGTCTAACTTTGAAGCTTGGCCTGCTTAGAAGCAGGGAGATGATAAGGGTGGGACCACACAACCTGCAGGGGTCAGTCCCAACCTAACTTTCTCTGATGCTATGCTGGTAATAGTTTACAAGGCTTACAGCAGTTATTCTGGTTGACAAAATGCCTCATTCCTTTACTTTAAGCAGTATTCACACTTACTTTTTAAAGTCTACTGGTCCACAATTAAATCCTCACTGTTACCAGCCTACAGGAGGAGCAAGTTTTACAGTAGCCAGGGCTTTGTAAATCCCTCATACACTAGTTCACATCAACTTGGCTTTGGTATAAAGTTCCATTTGGTATAAAGTTCCATTTTGCTCTTTACCTAAAGAGAGACAACAAGATATATTTAAATAATCCTTCCTGCACTCCTGAAAGATTATTCCCTCTAGCACAACATGCAATTAAATATGATCATTTCCACTTTTTAATAATAAAGCTTCCTGAGGGTCTGAGATATTACTTAGGAGTTGCTGTGCTGACTGCACCACCCAGGGAAGGCCAGGCCCATCATCAGTTTGCAAAGCTCCAAGGCCTGTTTTCTTAATAGAAAAAAATAATAATAGTTTTTAAAAACTAATTATCCTTCCCTCCTTAGAGAGCAATTCCTGCCTGTCTTTCTCTTCCTCTCATCCTTGAAAGCAATCTGCTTTTAAACTTTTTTCTATCATTATTATTTAAAGAAAAACCACAAAAACTTATATCACACACTAGTTCCAATCAAAGTAACCACTAACTGCTGGCATTCTCTCTTAATTTATGATATAGGTCTACTATGCAATGAGCTAAAAAGATATGCAAATAACTGATGATTTTGACCAACGTTTTCTTTCTAGCAATTTAAAGGGTTGTAACACCTACCAATAATTCAGGATGGGCCTTTCCAAAGTTCTGAGTCTAGACCTAATCAATCACAATGAAATTGCAGTGATTTAGAGAAAGAAAACAAAATTAGTTATGGGCACTCCAGAAAAAAACCTGTAACTTCCCACCATATGTGAGTATTCCAAAATAAATATTAGAAAACATTGTCTCCTAACAAATAAATTATGATGTTGTCATGTTTAATTGAGAGATTTCTTGAAGAGCTTCTGAAAAATCAATGTGAATATCTGCTAGTGTAGCTTTATGGTTTCTGTAACTCTTTATGAAAAGAAACTCTTTTATCGTATGATATAATAGGCAATATTTTCTATTTTATTCTATACATAATTCAAAATCTTTGTTGTCTCTGTGGAAACTCTTATGGCATCTGTGATCTTCCTTCTTGAAAGGCTTTGAATAACCTTCAGTAGAGCTTACTGGTTTAGTCAGTCCAAAAAGACATCGCAAGTAGTCAAATAATGCAAATGAAGCTTTCCCAATCCAGGAAGCTGAAAACCTCTTAAGACAGGCACAAGAATTCCCAGCATTTTATTTCTTAGCTCTATGATCAAGACACACCAGCATGAAAAATTTGAAATTAAAAGTTAGCTAAAACAGAATAGTAACAGAGGTTAATAGTTCGCTCTTATGTGGCACATATTGATGGCTCATGTATAGTCAAGAACTCATATATTTTAATGCATTTTAAAAAATGTAGTTGGTCAAATGATCTGCTATTGCACAGGGAATTATGAGACAAAAAAGTAAGCAGACCAGATTTAGGAACAGCAGATTTGTATTTCCATTCATGTCATGATGAAGTTTACTCTGCAGAATACAGGAGCCAACAAAAGCCTTAGTGGTCTAGTGATTTACTGTTATTCAGGTTCAACTGCAACAAGCTCGCTGAACTTTGACCAGCAGCAGAATCCAGAGTCTTCCTGGTTTGCTGCCTCCTACAACATGCAGGAGGTTTGCTGCCTCCTAAAACACTGTGGCAGCCATACTACAGCAATGGCCAAATATTTTCTCCTAGCTCCAGCAGTGTTATGTGACCAGATCTGCAGTACTCACAGTCTTCCTGCCTATTCTCCCACTTTCTCCAAGTAAGAAGTTATAGCCCGATGTTTTTCATCCAAGTGGGACAGATTGGGACAGAAGACACAGGGAAGAAAGATAATCTTATCTTCAAAGATAAACACATCTTAAAACAAACAAACAAACACCATTTAGGTGTGTGTGCACAAAGCACACATTTATCTCTATC